GGCCGGGGGCGGGGCCCGCTCGGGGCCGGGCCGGGAGGACTCCTCCGGAGGGGGCCTAGCCCGGGGGGTCCGGCCGCCCTCGCGGTGTACCAGGCCTTCGGGGGCGGCTGGGGGCGGGGGCGAGGTACCCCCCTGCGGTCATCGGGCACTGGGGGTCCCTGCTGCCCCCGGGGGGTCTCTGCGCCTTTGGGGGGGGCGCTGGGAGGGTCCCTGTTGCTCCTAGAGGGTCCCTGCTGCCCCTAGGAGGTCGTTGTGCCTTTGGGGGGGTCCTTGCTGCTCTCCTGGGGACGTTGTGCTTTGGGGAGGGTGTTGGGGTGGGCTCTCTTGCCTCCAGGGCTGGTTTCTGTTGCCTCGAAGGGCTCATCAGCCCTTGGGAAGGGTTGGGGGTCCCTTCTGCCCCCAGGGTCGGTCCCTGTTGCCCCAGGGGTGTTGCCATCCCTTTCAGGGAGTACTGGGGAGTCCCTTCTGTTCTCAGGGCTGGTCCCTGTCACCTCCGTGGTTTCATCATCTCTTTGGGGGGATGTTGAGTGTACCCCTGCTGTCCCCAGGGTGTTGTCCCGCCTTGGCGTGTTGCTGAGGGTCCCCCCCTGCCCCCAGGGCTCCTTCCCCAGTGCCCCCGTGGTGTCACAGTGCCTTGAGGAGGCACTGGGGGTCCTTTTCAGCCCTAGAGCTGGTTTCACTACCTCGGTCCTGGGGCAGAGCTCAGCTGAGGGTCCCTCCTGCCCTCCCAGGTCCAAACCTCATTGTCCTTGGGCCTTCCTCACCCCCTCCCTTCCAGGACAGTCCCTGTTGTCCCCAGGGGGTTCCCAGGGAGCAGGGGTCCCCGGGGCAGGTGCGGCTGGGCCCTGTGCTGCTGGGCTTTAACCTGTCGTTTCCGTCAGCTGCCAGCGAACTTCCGGCCTCGGCACTTGCTGCCCGCAGCACCGCTGCCGCTGCTGCGCAGGTGAGTGGGACGCCCTGGGTCCGGCAGCGCTTGCCTTCTGTCCGTCTGTCTATCCTGCTTGCTGCAGAGGTGGAGGCTAGGGCTGCATCTGCCCTTGTCTCCTTTGCAATGCTGAATTATTCGTGTCAGTGGAGTGGTCTTGGGCTGCTCTGGCTGCTCCCCTCTTTGCTCCTGCAGGATTTCTCCTGCTGGCCAGGCTTTCCTCAGCCCTGGGACCACTGTGCTCCCCTGGAGAGCCAGGAGCCTCGGCCTTCCTGGGTGCTGGACAGGGAAGGGGTGGTGCTGCATGCTGAGGCAGCTGGTGCTTGTTAGCTGCAGTTAATTAGGCTCTGCCTGCACTGGGAGCAGGTTCATGCCATCCCCCTGGCTGTGCTGTGGGATGGCTGGGAAAAGCAGTGGGGAGGTGGGCGCTGCATCGCCCAAAGAGGTGCTTCTGTGCCCAGGATGCTCCGAGATGGGGATCCCAGACCTCCGTGTAATTGCAAATGGGAAACTGCTTAATTAGCATTGTCACTAGGATCTGCTGGGCTCCCGGGCAGGTTTGTAATTAACCAAGGCTCTCCAGAACGCGACCCACTGGCAGGTTTCTGCCCATGTCTTGGCAAACCAGAGGTGCCTGGCCAGCCCCTCCCCTGCAAGGGCTGTTCGGGGTAGAAACCTGCTTGTCGCGGGAGGTTTAACTGGGGGTTTAAACCCCCCAACACCATCTCGGGGCGGGGGGAAGAGGGCTCCTCTGCAGTGAACAAACGAGGTTGCCTCGGTCCAGGTCTGATGAGAAAACTTTCCTTAAATAGAAGAGGCTCAGCGGAGCCCCGTGCGACACATGTGCAGGAGGGACCCGGTGTAAAGGCAGGCACGAGGCTGTGCTGTGGCATCCTGTGGGCGTCTTGGTGTGCCAGGGTGGTGGAAACTGAGGTGAGGGGCTCTTGGTGGGTCAAAAACACCCCTTGCTCGCTTCTGGCCCTGTTGCTTCTTTGCTTTATGTAGCCCAAACACGGTCTGGGTGCAGAGTGCCTGTGGAGCCTGGCTATTAAGGTGTTTATATAGCTATGTAAATATTTTAATGGCAGATCATTCAGGGACTAAGCGGCTGCAAGCACTGGGTTTCCAGGTGTAAAGTGGCTGGGTTGGCAATGCCACGGCATGTGGCCAAGTCCTGTGGGTGCTGCGGAGGGGCACTGAGTGCCGGCGCAGATGGGTGGCAGATCTCGGGTAGCAGTGAGGGACTGGAGCCATCTGCTGCACAGAGCATGGCCTGTGTCCCGCTGGCTCGTGGCTTTACAGGTTGGGGTATCGGCTTGGGATGGAAAGGACTATCTCTTGGGCACGGCCGTTGGAGATGCTGACTGGTATTGTGATGGTTTGGGGGCTTGGAGCCTGGCAAACCATTGGGAAGGCACAGTGGTGTGAGTCCTGACATGGCAGCCTGAGCCTGGCATGCTGTGGCAGCACCCGCAGCTCAATCCCGGCAGCCAGGAGGCTGTGGCATGCGGAGTGATATTTTTAGGACTCTCACAAGGGTGCTGGAGTGAGGCTTTGAGCATGTGAAGCTGGGAGCACTGATCCTGTCCAGATGTGGGTTCTGCAGTTCCCTGGAGTCAACATGTCAGCTCCTGGGGTCACTCTGCACGGTGCCCTGGAACCACGCGGGGTTCACTGGTTCCAGCCATGCGCCCTGAGACATTGCCACCTTGGCAGGGAGACCCAGCCTGGCACTAGCAGCTTGGTGACAGGTTCAAATCTCTTGGTGAGGGCTCGGGGCTCTCTGCATGGCTGACCGTGTCCCAGCTTCCTCCAGTCCACACCGAGCGGTGTCTCATTGCATCCCTCAACCAATGCTCCCCAGTTTGGGGAGGTGGAAGCAATACCTTCAGGGCCATCTGCATTTCCAGCCATTGGTAACTCGAGCGTAGCATTCCCCCGTGTCCGCTTGCTGCCGGTTTGTCGCTGCCTGAGCCCTCGAGTGTCGATGGCACGCTGTGCTGTGCCGTGCCGCGGGGCTGCCGGTCTACGCACACTTTAATCTCCCTGCCACGTGAATGGCTTCGGTGCCTGCGGGTGGAGCTGGTGGGTGGCTGGGGAGGCTGACGCAGAGCTGTCGGTGCCGAGCACCTAGCTTGCCTATCCATCAGTACCGGGCAGCTGGCATAGGCTAGCGTTGTGCTCCTGGGCATAGAAGATGGCTGGGGATCCCAGTGTCCCCTGTGGTGTCCGTGGCACTGGCAGAGGCTGTGTCTGTCCCTGCTGTTAGATCCGCCGAGGCAGCTAGGGGCTTTTTTTCCCCGCAATTTGCTTAATTTCCTAGCAAGGTTATGGTCCTCTGGTGTGGGTGGATGAGAAATGAAGTCAGGCTAATTATTTGCTAATGGATTCCTTTCCTCTGAAAGCGTGTTTCTTGTTCCTCACCTTCGTGAAAAGGCTGCCGTGAAAGAGTGTTAATGACAGATCTGAATAGGCAATTTGGCGGAGGAAAATAACTACCGAGGAGCAAAGTCCAAACTCGGTTCCTTTTGTACATGCAAAGACTCCCAGCCCCTTGGATTAATAATGCCACTGAAGGCACAATAACTGGCGGAGTGAAAGTTGTCCTGTTCATGGACTTTCCGATTTCCTGACTACTCGAGCTTGAGCGGCGGGGAGTTAAGCCATAGCTGAGCACTGCGGTGTTTTGAGCCTGTTCCTTAGTCATCTGGCATGACAGGCGCCATACGAGGGACAGAGTCGCCTTGCCACTTAGAGCAGTAAATTAAAACCAGTCCTGCCCAAGCTCCCTCCTGGTCCTGCACACAGCCCCTGGGGACAGACCTGGGCAGGCACAGGGCACCGTCTGCAGCACTGCAAACTTGCCGGCTGAGTGTGCACAAGCCGCCCCCGCCGCGGCGGTGAGTAATCCCCTCGTAGGGCTGAGCCTTGGTGCTTTGCAGGAGGTGAACACCCGCTCTTCATCGCGCCACCAGCACAAAGCCTTCACGTGCCGAGAGCTGCCGGTGCTGGAGGGCTGGGCTCGGCACCGCATCTGGCTGCCAGCGCAGAGTGGAGATCTGGCAGGTTTGGGCAGGAGAGAGGAGGGCTGAGGGTCTGGGGCAGCTCTCGTCCCCTGCTTTGCTTTTCAGTCCTTTCCACCGCCTCTCCACAGTGTCAGTGGTTTTAAAGTGATTCTGTGCAGGCTGGCAGCACCAACTGGGGAATAGTTAAAACTGAAGCTGCAGAAAACACTTTATCTTTTATTTCTGCACCGCTACTCTTGTTATTGAGCGAGTGGCTGCAGTTGGCTGAAGCTCGCTGGTGTTTTCAGTTGCATAAACTTGGTTTCCTTATAAACGCTCCTACACTGTAAGAGCTTTTATCAGGCTTCAGCCGGAGCCAGCTTGGCTGCCCAGGCCTTCCCCGGGCACAGCCACAGTGCCATCAGGTGGTGACAGTGCCATCAGGCAGTGGCGGTGGCCCCTGGTCCATCGCCCCGCAGCCATACCTCTGGGTCGGCAGCTTCAGTGAGCCCCACTTGCCTCCTAAATTGCCTGTTTCTTAGAGGGGAGCCATGCCTAGGCTTGGACTGGCAGTGACAGACCCAGCGTGGGCAGAGCTTTTTGCCTTCTTTGGCTCTTTGGGGCTCTGCTGGTGTTAATTCCCAATCTAGTGAGGATTAGTCTCCGGAGTGTTTGCCGTAATCAGAGTTAATGATGTTCTGGCTCAGCTTTTCCTTGCGTGTAAACGGGGAACTTTTAGCAGACTCCCTGACACTGGTTAAGAGCAAGCAGCTAAACCAAGTATGAAAAAGTTTGACTAAAAATAGAAGGGGAGTAAAGAACAAGCAAGCATAAACAAAATGTTATTTTTAATTTTTTTTTCCCTCCACCTTGGCAAAACCTCTGCTGCTTGTGACTCCAGCGTGTTTTCCTCCTGTGTCTTGGTGTAACCTGGTGAGGCAGCTCTGCCGGCAGCTGGGCGCTGGTGGTCTCACCAAAAGCCACCTGTGGGCGCTGGATCCGTGATCCTGGGCAGGGTCTGCAGCCCCCAGGCACAGAGGCAGCTCCACTTCACAGCCACAGTCCCGCAGGACCTGCCCCTGCAGCGGAGGGGAGCCTAGGCCACTTTGGATGCTGTCCCTGGATGCAGCGGGGCCGTCAGTGCTCCTGCAGCCCGTGCCTCCCCTCCCTGCAGCAGCCGGCCCTCCAAAGCAAAGGCTGGGAAATGCCTGGGAGCCAAAAATGTGCTTGCCTTTGGTTTTCCATATGCTGGTAAGGAATTGGTGAACCTCACCTGGAGCAACTGGAAATGCCAGGGAGCTCCTGGCCTCGTTGCCTGGTTCTGCTCTTGCCTGCTCCCCAGGAGGAGCTGAGTTGGTGGGGGTGCCAAAGGCCAAAGCTTGCTCTTGGGGGAGGCCAAGTAGGCTGGCCAGGTGTCTGGGGCTGCTGTTCCGTCTGTGGCATGGAGGAGAACAGCCCCTTGGTGATGCTGTGAGGATTTTGTGCATGGGAAGGTGTTTAAAAAATCTGTTGCTGGGGTTAAAAAAACCTGCCTGAGCAGCTTTTAACTGGCTGCCTATGGTCTGCAGGTGTCAAGAAGTTTCTCGATACTGTGACTTGCTGCCTCCCCAGCCACCTTTCCTCATCTGCCTGTGATCCGAGCCCCGCTCCTGCCTCCCTGCCTGTCCCAAGCCAGGGATGTGTGTTGTACAGCTGCCTTGCTGTAGCAATCATTGGAGTCAACACCTCCTCCTTCCCCTGAGCCTGGCTGGGGATCACTGATCGGGAAGCACCTGTCTTACTGTGAGAGGTGAAGCAGGGACCAGGCACAGACAGTGGGAGCCAGGAGCCATCCCACAGGCAGGAGAACAGGCAGCACAATGTGTCACAGATCTGCTTCCCTGCTACGTTGACAGCATCTGAGCAAATTAGAAACTGGAGCAGGGTTCAGGGGATGGTGCCAAGCGGCCTCGTTACTCAGCTGCGAGTGCCTCAGTGGAGGCCAAGGGATGTTACCATTCACTCTGCCCTCAGCAACAGCCTATGAGCTTTTGTTGCTGTGCATGCTTCTGTGCATCGAGTGTGGTCACCAAGCCTGTGGCCACGTGTGCATCACTTCTCTGCTGATTGTGTTTTCCCTTAGAAAGTGGTGCTCTCCAGACCAGCCTGCAATGCCGTGGGTTTATATGTGGCTCCACCGACACAGGGACAGGCCAGCACGTCCCTGTCTCGGCAGACTGGCTGTAGCAGGGATGCTCCAGCTTCTGCTCTCTCCCTCTCTTGCATGCAGGGTGAGTGCTCTGGAAAACACGATGTCGGATAAAGGAAGCAGCATGGACGGGAAGACAGACATAGTGAATGGTAAGGGTGCCAGCGGGGACCAGTCTGTCCGTGCCTGGGGTCTCCTGCTGGGGAGGTTCACGGTGTTGTCTGCACCACGCAGGCAGCTTGTCCAGCAGCCCAGAGGAGATGTCAGCCGAGGAGGGCCGAGAAACCTCCTCTGGCATCGAGGTGGAGGCCTCCGACCTCAGCCTGAGCCTCACAGGAGATGATGTGGGGCCCAACCGCACCAGCACAGAGAGCCGGGACACGGACACGGAGAGCTCGGGGGAAGAGAAGGACTCTGATAGCATGGACGACACGGGCCACTACTCCATAAATGAGGAGAACCGTGCCCTCGATCGGTCACACTCAGAGGAGGAAGAGGAGGAGGACGAAGAGGAGGAGCAGCAGTCCCACCGCCGTGCCCAGCGCAAGCGTGCCAACCATGACCAAGACTCCTCTGACGATGAGCAGGCCCTGGAGGACTGGGTGTCCTCGGAGACCTCGGCGCTGCCCCAGCCCCGCTGGCAGGCAGTCCATGCCCTCCGGGAAAGGGAGCTGGGCTCCAGCGCCCGCTTCGTCTATGAGGCCTGCGGGGCCAGGGTCTTCGTGCAACGATTCCGCCTCCAGCATGGCCTGGAGGGCCACACGGGCTGTGTCAACACCCTGCACTTTAACCAGCGTGGCACGTGGCTGGCCAGTGGCAGCGATGACCTCAAAGTGGTGGTGTGGGACTGGGTCAGGAGGCAGCCGGTGCTGGAGTTCGAGAGTGGCCACAAGAGCAACGTTTTCCAGGTGAGGAGCATGCAGGGAGGGTCCTCGGAGGGCTGGGGGTGATAGAAGATCCCCACGGTGGGTAGGTGATTGCTCTAGAAGCACGTAATTTCAGCTGGATAATGCTGTGCAGGGCAGGAGAAACCTGTTGTTAAAGCTAGGGGCTGTAGGAGGAGTCCAGCTGCTGTGCAGTGGTAACTAACCATCAAAACCCACTGCTGTGCCCTAAAATCCACTGTCTGGTGGAGCCCTGGCTGGGGACGGTGGGGTGAGATGCCCCCATGCCCTGCAGAGCTTACCCCTTCTGCTCCTCTGGCCCTGGTGAGCAACAGTTTTGGGAACGGCCATGGGCAGGAGCTGTGTTCAGAGAGGCTGTGCCATGCCAATTTCTCTCCTGTTTCACCCCGTTTCCATCCATGCGTACACAAGCCCCTGCCCCGGCGTTGAAAGCCACCCCTCCACTTGCTTTTTTCTAGGCCAAGTTCCTCCCCAACAGCGGTGACTCCACTCTGGCAATGTGTGCTCGGGACGGCCAGGTCCGGGTGGCCGAGCTCTCTGCCACCCAGTGCTGCAAAAACACCAAGCGCGTGGCACAGCACAAAGGAGCTTCACACAAGGTGAGCCCAGACCAGCCTGTGGAGGGAGTGGGCAGCATCTAGGAAACCCTGAAATGCCCCAGGGCCGTTCTGGCACACCGGCTGCCAGGAATAGTGAATGCAAATCTGTTGCCATGGAGGGACCGATTCTTAAATGCTTCTTTATAATTGCTGTCACCTCTGAGGGTGATGAGGAGGGTCTCGGTGCCTGCAAAGCGGTGACGTGAGCACATGGCTGCAGGGTATAGAGGGCTTGGTGCTGCATCAGCTCCTGTTAATGACTGATGGTTTGCTGGGAGAAAGGGATCTTGCCACTTTGTTGGGTAAAAAGGGAACCAATGCCCAAGTATTTATCTTCCAGCTGGCCCTAGAACCGGATTCTCCATGCACTTTCCTATCAGCAGGTGAAGATGCTGTAGTCTTCACCATTGATCTGAGACAAGACCGGCCCGCCTCGTGAGTATTTCTCTACCTGCTCCCGTTGCCAGGACCAGGGAAGCTCCAGAGGGAGATCTGGGGTCTCGGGGGGCTCCCCCACGAGTGGGCAGCACTCGGCTGCGTAGGGCTGTGGGTCCCGCTTGTGCTGCTGCATTTTCACGGCAGCACATGCCCATTCAATAGGCATAAAGTGGGAAAACAGGTATTTTCTGGCTTTCAAGCTGTTTTGTCTTCCCTGAGGTGCAGGGTCAGACCAGAATGCTTTTTGGTGGCTGGTCTGGGGCTGACCATCTCATGTGAGGATACAGATATGAACCTTGCTAATTAGATGAGTGCATTTGAACCCTCATCCTCCCTGGGATGGGGTCCTGTTGAGATAGGAAACAGAAATAATACCACTGCAGCAGGTCCCTGCCCCTGCGCAAGCACGCCTGCTGCGGTGGCTGCCAAAGGCTGCCTGTCCTGTATCCATTTACCCATCCCAGGGGCAGCGCTGAGGGTCCCATGCTCCTTCTGCGCAGTGAAGTGGCAGATTAATCACAGCACTGAAATTTCTCCATGCTGGCAGCAGCTTGGAGCTCGTGGGTCGCCTGACTCGCTCATCGCATGAGCGCTATTGCAGTTAATTGAAAAACAATAATTAGCAAGCAGCCGGATGGTGCATGCTGGATCTTAACCCGTATCGCTGAGAGATGTGTCGTTTCTGACAAGCTTCCAAAATAAATCCCCAGTGGGTATTCAAACAGACGCCTGGTTTTGGTATCGGGGTACTTTTCCAATACAACAGCATATTATTTTGAAGATGATCCTGCTTAAAACCGAGGGCTTCAGCGTTCATCTCCCGGTGGTTTGGTTTTATTTGTATATGCGAGTGCTTTTGTCTACAGCCTTAAACCCATCTGTTTCATAACCAGGACAAAAACTGCCAGGGCATTTCAAAACAGCCACATTTAATCCTCATCCCCACTTCCCCCCTCCATTTGCCGGGTCTGTTTGGAGAGGAGTCTGTTGGTCAGTAGGCTGGCATGGGTCTGTCCCTCCTCTTTCTTCGTGGGGATCCACGCTGCTGTTTGGGTTTGATGCTCGCAGGGAATTGTCACCCTGTGAGCGTGAAACCGCTCTGGAGGCAGGGTTCGCAGGCAGACTGTAGGCAGCTCCCATCTTTCATTAAGCCAAACGGTATAATTAGAAGAAAGACAAGCGTTTGAGCTGGCTGTTCCTTCTTGAGGATGCTGCCTCAGTTTGTATTCGTGTCTGCAAAGCCGAAATATTGAGCTCCTGGGGGAGGGGGGATGGTATGTGTCGGATTTCGTTAAATCTGGGCCTTATTACAGTGAGGCGGGTGGGGAAAAATAACAGCAAAGCATTTCTGCTCTGGAGTTAATCCGATTCTGCCCTCGCCACTGCCTGTCAGGCTCCGTTGGGCTTGAGTTCAGGCCCTGAAACCCTTCAGACTTTTCGGAGGAAAACGCCGGAGAATGATTTCACTCTGCGCTGTTTGAGTCGCAGACAGAACATGTGCTTGCTTCAGCTGGGAGGCTGAAATGGTTGGGTGGTGGGTTTTTTTGTTGTTGGTGGTGTTTTGTTTTTTTTTTTTCTGAGAGTGAGTAAGAGACTCTCACAGCTCCTGCTTTTCCCATCTGGACCCTGTTTTGAATTTGAGGTGGATTTTTTTTGTTGTTATTTTTCCTTGTCTCTTAAAGGAAACTGGTTGTGACAAAGGAAAAGGAGAAGAAAGTAGGTCTATACACCATCTATGTGAACCCAGCCAACACCTACCAGTTTGCTGTGGGAGGCAGAGATCAGTTTGTCAGGTGAGTCTGTGCTGGGGGCCCAGACTGAGCCCCTAGAGTGGACTTGAACATCCCTGTGGGGCTCAGTTGGTACCTCTGCAAGCTCTGAAATCTGATGTCCCCTGCAGAAGTGCTTGTGGCTTCAATCATTAATGCCTCCAAAGCCTATTCTCCCATAACAGCAGGAACACAAGGGGGATTAATAGAGGAGGATTTGGATCCTTTGAGGTTTAACCCTGGGATCCACTGTCCAGCCTGCCCTGAAGCCGGGCAGTCCTCCCCTCAGGAACTAGCAATGTTCTTAACAAACGGCCGATAAACCTCCTCTCCATCCCCCACCTGCAGGCAGTGCCTGGAGGGCATCGGAGATGAGATTAAGGCTCGGGGATGGTCTTGGTTTCAGCGGGACTGAGCTCCTTAAGTGACAAATGCAAGCTCCCCTGGCCTTTGAAACACTCAGGAGAGCCCCTGGCATGGGACCAGGCTGTGTCTGTGTGTCTGGCCCCTTGGCTCCCTGCATCAGTGCAGAGCTCCTTTGCGGCTGGCGGATTTTAAGGTGCAACTCGTGTGGCGCCTGTTTTGGGCAGAGGTGAATCGAACATGCACCAAGACTGCCTGCTTCCCAGCTCCCTGAGAGCGAGCAGAACTGTGGCATCACTTGGCCCCCTGAGGATGCATAGGGGCCGCTCTTCGGAGAGTGGGAGGATGCTGCAGCCCTGCCATTGAGATCACTTATGCGGCATCAGCTCCCTGGAGCGCCAGCCATGCGGGTGTCTGGCATGCAGGCAGCAGCTCCTGGGGCGCTGGGCATGGAAACACTTAACACATGGGCTCGCAGACTGCTCAAACAGCAGCGCCGGTGCCTCGCTAGCTTGGTAGCTTTCAGAAGAACCCAGGATTGTTGCTCAAAACACAGCCTCCCCTCCTTCCCGTTCTGTTGCTCTCTCTTTGTTCTCTGCCCATATCCAAGTGCCTCCTCTTCCCCAGCTTCCCCACCACTGGGCAGCTCCTGGTGGGCTTCCACATCAGGGAGGGGAGGTTGGGGACGCAGAGGAGCCCAAGCCAGCCAAGGGACAGGCACAATGGCAGTCACGTCCCCCCTTGCAGAGCAGCCTCTGGGCTGACAGAGCCCCAAATGCAGGTCATAGCCTGTGTGCATGCAGGCTTTGACATTGTCACGCATCACCAAGCAATGCCTCCAACATAACAAGAGGTGACATTAAGCTGCTTTGGCTGAGGCTTCTGCCAGTCTGGGCCACTCACAGCTCTGCAGATCGCTTGGCAAAGGTCGGAGCCTCTGGCCAGCATTGGGACAAGTCGTGGTTTCAGAGCTGGTTCAGACATGGTGTCTGCGTGGTCGGGGAGATCTGCTGCTCTCTTCCTGCCCCAGCCCACAGAGGTGGGCAGCGCCAGCCCTCCATGCCTATCGGCTTGGCATCCCTCGTGTCTCGAGTGAGTGCCAAACACCTGTTGTCCTTCCCCCAGGATTTATGACCAGCGGAAAATAGATGAGAATGAGAACAACGGTGTGCTAAAGAAGTTCTGCCCTCACCACTTGGTAAGTGGCTTGATTTTGTGGTGTACTGGCCCGATGGGCAGCACCCTCCCCTGCAGGGACGTGGCGTGAGAGAGATAGTGGGTGGGTGGACCAGCAGAGAACATGCCATGGTGGCCACCTGCGTGGGTGGGCGGCAGCCCTGCCACAGCGCTGCAGCTCGTGTGCCCTGTGTGCCGGCAACGAGCAAAGCTGAGCCTGATGGGTGGGCAAACCTGGGGGGTACACTGCGTCCGCTGCAGGGTTAATGACAAGCAGCTAGGTCTCCTGCTGACAGAGGGGCTGGCCATACCAGCCTCACCAGCAGGACCGGCCTTTGCCCAGCTCCTGTAGCCGGGTTGGTGCCAGCAGCACTCGCCGCAGAGCAAGAGCCTGGGATGGGGCCTGGGCAGACCTCACTGCCCGGATCTGTGGAGCACTCCCTCAGGAGCTTAGTGTAGGAGTGGCTGAGAAGCACTCGCTGGCCAAGCCTATTGCAGGCTTCCTGCCTGGAAAACAGCTGGAGAGGCCGAACAAACTGTCTCGGCTTTGTTTTTTTTCCTTGACCCAAATCTTCCACTGTCCATAAAGTCCTGCCTTGGCGTAGGAAGAGGCAGTGGTTTTATGGTCTGACTTTGCAGCCCTTGCAGAGCAGTCACTTATGCACCGAGCTCTAAGCAGGCAGATGGCTAGCGTAGGTGTGCTGGCACACTGTGGGAGGAGGAGGTGGGAGCAGAGGTGTCTGTGCTTTCCCTAGGTGAACAGTGAGTCCAAAGCCAACATCACCTGTCTTGTCTACAGCCATGACGGCTCAGGTGAGTGACCGTGCCACAGGCTGGGGGCCATACAGGCGCTGTGGCATCCCGTGACTGCTGGAAACCTGCAGAGGCGATCCTGCTGTGCAGGGCTGATGGGCGAGTCACGGGTAGCCGGGGCTGTGGCACTGTGGGATGGAGCACCCGGGGGTCTTGCAGCATACCCACCCCTAGCAGAGAGACTATCTCCGTGTGCTCCCTGCTGATGCCCATCTCTTCCATCCTATGCCAGAGCTGTTGGCCAGCTACAACGATGAAGACATTTATCTCTTCAACTCTTCTCACAGCGATGGAGCAGAGTACATCAAGAGATACAAGGGACATCGCAATAATGCCACTGGTAAGGACCAGCTGGGACAGATGTTGGGGCAGACCACCCCTGGCAGGCTGCATCCCCCACTGTGGGGGAGCTTGGGGGCACTTCCCAGGTCTCTGTCGACCTCCCACCACCACCATGTCCTCTTCCCCAGCAGTGAGCAGGGCCAAGCTCGCTGCCTACACCCCGGGAGGGGGGCATGGAGCGTGGCTTACCCCTCCTCGCACCTGCAACCAGGCTTTGGGGCAGTGTGAAGGTGAGGGGCCATCCCCAGAGCAACCTGGAAGAATAATTGCCTGCTTTTAGCTTATTTCTGCAGCTCTTAGTGTTTCGTCTTCCTCTCAAAGACCCTTAACACAAACTCTTGGGCTTGCAAAGAATGAGCTATTATGTGTCTGGGGACGGAAGAGATCCACACCGGTAACCCTGGAAACTCGCTGGCTGCCAGGCAGGAAGCGAATTCATGGCAGGGAGGGCTCCTGATGGCCTCGGGCTGCTTGTTTCTCTCCTTTCAGTGAAAGGCGTCAACTTTTATGGCCCAAAAAGCGAGTTTGTGGTGAGCGGCAGCGATTGCGGCCACATCTTCCTGTGGGAGAAATCGTCCTGCCAGATTGTGCAGTTCATGGAGGGTGACAAGGGAGGAGTGGTGAGTCCCTGTGCTGCCCTGCTACTCCACCCCCTGCGAGCTGGGCTTTATGTCCCCACCAGCTCAAGCCACTTCCACATGCCCACATGAACTTGCCACTGCTCTCTGTGCTTTTTCTACCAAAAGCCAAGCAGGGCCCTCGCAGGCTCCTGGTGTCCCATGTGCAGGGTGCTCAGCACTGCTCCTGCCTGGGGAGCGACAGCAGGGACAGCTGAGGCATGCTAGCAAGGGCCACGGTGCCTTGAAGGTCTTCTGGCATACAAAATCCCACAGGGATTTTGCCCAAATGCCCATGGGGTGCTTGTCACTGAAGGAGGGGTGGGGACGTCAGAGCTGCTACTGTCCAGGATGGGGCAGCCCCCTACCCTTCCCCCGTCCCAGCGGGGATGTGTGGGCTTTGTGAGGAGAGCTGCATGCTCCTGGTCCAGATCCGGGCGCTGCTCCCTGCTGGGCAAGCAGCTGCATCCTCAACCAGTCACATCCAGGAAAGGGACGCAGCTGCACCGGGGCCAGCCCTGTGCTGAATTTCCCAGGCTCCAGCCGACAGCGGTCAGGTCCCGAGCAGCTGCTGCCTGCGCTGGCGGGGGGATCTGTGCCCTGTTTCGGCTCAGAGCCGGCAGACACTTGGTCTCACACACTGCCCTGGCGGTCAGTACCTGTCCCCCATGGGCACAGGGCTGAGAGGGGAGGGGATGTGCTTCTGGCAGCCCTGGCACCTGGGTCCGGGCAGGCAGAAGGGGGACAGGTTTTGGGTTGGTGTTGAGGGGATGGCAAGTGCCTCGCTGGCGTGGGGACGGGCAGCAGAGCCCTGTCCACTGCTCCCTCCCACTCCTGGCCGAGCTGGTCCCCGCTGTGCTGCTCCTCCACCGGCCCCACAGTTGCCTTTTGTCCGGGTGGCCGCGGCCCACTGCCAGCTCCTGGCGGCTGCTGGCACCACCACCCCCAGCCGGCAGAGCCGTTGTGGGGCTGGATCCGGCCCGAGGACCTCCCTGACAGCCAAAGCTGGGCTTCAGCGCACTGGGGTGGATGTGGCCCCTTTCCTGTTGGGTTTGCTGCCTGGCTTGGGGTTCCCCACTTTCCTTGCACCTGTTGCCTCTAAGGGTGCACTGGGCTTGGTGCCCCATGAATTACTTGGGGGCACCCCAGGTTTTGGGGTTTGCTCATGAGTGGGGTGGCGTGTGTCCCCCCCTTCCCAAAGCCAGAGTGTGGGGATGCCGGGGCTGGCAGCCCCTCTCTGTGCTGGGGGGTCCCATGGGAAGACCACATCACGGAGCCCCACAAGGGCTCCCCATCTCCTCTCATGTTGCTCTCCTCTCATGACCCCAACTTGAGGCCAGAGTGATGGGCTAGAGAGCCACCAGAGAGCTTGTGGGTGCTGGGGTCACTCCTCCTGCCCTGTTTGGGTGACACCCCCTCCTCTTGCCCCCAGGTGAACTGCCTGGAGCCCCATCCCCACCTCCCTGTCCTGGCCACCAGCGGCCTCGACCACGACGTCAAGATTTGGGCGCCCACGGCAGAGAATCCCACTGAGCTGGCCGGCCTCAAGGAGGTGAGACCCAGACAGTGAGGTGGGGGAAGGGGTCAGAGGGCTGGGTTCCCCCCAGCCCCGCAGCCCCCTGACCCCCCGCACCTTGCCTGGCCCCAGGTGATCAAGAAGAACAAGCTGGAGCGGGATGAGGACAGCCTCCACCACACAGACATGTTTGACAGCCACATGCTCTGGTTCCTTATGCACCACCTGCGACAGAGACGCCATCACCGGGTAGGTGCTGGGGTCCCCTCTATGTCCCCCCACCTTTGCCCGCTGCTCCCCCAGCCTGTTCACCCCCTTTCTCTGCCCCCCTCCCTGGCAGCGCCGAAGAGAGCCAGGAGCACCGGATGGCGACTCAGATGAGTCTCCCAGCTCCTCCGACACCTCGGATGATGAGGAAGAGGGGCCGGACCGGGTGCAGTGCATGCCGTCATGAGCCCCCCCAGCCCCCGGCCAGCGCGGGGGGGCTCCGGGCACGCATCATCCCTACTAACACTTTGAGCTTTGTATTGACTTGTTAAGGACCCTCCCCCCGCCCCTGTTCCCTCCCTCCTCATCCTCGCAGTCCCCCCAGACCACTGGAGGCGGCATAGCCTCGGCTCGGGGGTCCCTTCCCTCCCCAGGACCCACGCAGAGATAGGGGGGTGGGGGATTTTTGTACTAACGTGGCCCCCCGGTCCCCTCTCACACTCTTCTGAGGGGGACCTGGCCCCCTCCCCGGCACCAGCCCTCACATTCTTCAGGGCTCCCCCTTCTTCCCTGGGGGCTCTGGTCCCCCTGGGGGTGCTGCACCCCCTCCTCCCTCCCTCCCTCCCTCTCCCCCCCACCCCGGGGGTGTTTGCAGAGAGATGCTTGTCTAGTTTGTACATATCAGTGATTTGCACTTGGTTTGGCCCTTCTCCGCCCCTACCCCCCCCCCGGCCTCCCTGGGGCAGTGGCCGGAGCCCCCAGGAACCGGGAAGGTCCTTTAATTTTCTGTTACTTTTAAGGAGATCTCTTCTGGGGGGGAGTGGCAGCGAGGGCTCCCCGTCACTGTTAGAGGCCTAATTTTATATGTATTAAAACCAAATCGAACTTGGATGTTATCAAGTTAAAATTATTGTAAAAGTTTGAATATATATTATATATAAATGCAATAAAAACCAACAGAGAGAGGCGGAGGGCTGCGTGTCCCCTTCCCCCTGTCCCTTCCCCCAGGCTCCCCGTGTCCCCAAGCCTGTTTCTGGCCCCAGGGCCAATGTCTCCCTGAGCCCTCCCTTCTAGAGGGGTGTATTTTGCCCCTTTTTGGCTGTGTTTTCACCCAAACACCCCCCTCACAGAGCCACGCGACCCTCCAGAGCAGCTTTCATCTCCATCTGTTTATGAGAGATCTGTACACAGTCAGCACGGTCGGGGAGGGGAAGTGGGATTATGGGGGTAGAGGGAGCAGGGAGGGCCCCCCCCGGGGGCTGGGGGACACTAGTGTGTCACCTGTCCCCATGTCCCCCTCCCAGGATCTCACCAGGAGGGTGGGGGGGGGTCCCAAACAGTCATTTTGCAACAAAAGACACAGTTTTGGGGAGAAAATGAATGTGGTCCCTGCCCTGGACACAATAAATAGGGGAGGGGGGGACACACGGGGTGGGGACACAAGAGCTGGCGGCCGCACACAGGCGCTCTGCGGGTTTTAGCTTTTATTAAATAAAATATATTAACATATACTCTCTCCAGTCCCCCCCCTCGCTAGCCCCCCACCCAGGTTAGTAGCTAGAGCTGTACCCCAAAGACACCCTCCTCCCCACGTACACACTAATGGGGGCTGTGCCTGTTTTCCCAGTTCAGTACCCCCTTCCTCCCAGCATGGCATTGGGGGAGGCTGGAAGGATTCCCCCCTCCCCCCTGCCAAATCTGGCTGGCTGGTTTGAGGGGGGCTGCCAGTTCTGCGCTGCCCCCCGCCAAAGTGGGAGTTTAGGGGTGTCCTTCCACTGGAGATTTCCCCAATGCTCAGGGAGGGTCTGGGGTGTTGAGGGGGGTCTGGGGTCCCCCCCTTGAATATCACCACCCTGCACAGGGGCTCCCACTGCCTTGCCCCCCATGTCACCTCCTCATCCCCCCACCTACTGCAGCCCCTGGGGGTGGGACACGACAGATGTGCCCCTACCCTCCCTGTGGGGCTGAGGCCTGACAAATTCACGCCATCCTGCAGCCTGCCTGGGGGGAGTCAACAAAGACACCCCCCCACTGCTCAGCCCTGCTGCTCACCTCCCTCCCGACGTGCCCCATCCTTCGTCCCTGCGCC